GGGGAAAGGGAACCAGGGATGGGGCCGCTCTCGCTTCTCCTTTCTCCGCCGGAGAAGGAGTGTAGGGAGTGCGGAGTTGGGAGTAGGGAGTAGTGAGTAGTGAGTAGTGAGTCAGTGCAAAGTGAGTAGTGAGTATTGAGCAGTGAGTAGTGGGTAGTGAGTGGCGCGTAGGGAGTAGGGAGTAGGGAGTGGGGAGTAGTAAGTAGTGAATAGTGAGTAAGTAGTGTGTACTTACTCACTATTCACTACTTACTTCATCGCAGTCGAGCCATGGATTCGCCCGCCCACCGGGCCGGGCAATCCGGGTCTCCGCGCGGACCTGCAGGTGCACCGACAGTGACGGCCAGTGGGCCTATCTGGACTTAACGATCGTGCATCCGGCCTCGCAGCAGAGCCTGCAGGCCGGCGGGGCCCACACCCAAGGCACCGCTGCGAGACTGGCCGAACAGGCCAAGTGCCGCAAATACAACGGAGTCGCTGGTTTTCAGCCCCTCGGCTTCGAAGTGTCGGGAGCCATGGGCGAGTCCACCCGGAAATGGCTCGCGCAGCAAGTGCCTGAGGGCCCTGGGCGACTGGAGACTCTCAGCACTCTCCACTGGTCCATCGCCGCCTGCGTGGTCCGGGAGGTGGCGCGCACGCTCATCAGCGCTGCCTGAGATGGTCGTCGGGCCAGCCAGCGCGCCTAACGCAGGGGTCTGGTGGCTCACACCCCTGGGCCTGGAACCGGCGGCCTAGCACGACGACGGCACCAGCGCGAGAACAGCGCTGCTGCACGAGGACGCACGAGGACAGCACTAGGACAGCTCGAGGACAGCACAGGCACGAGGACAGCACGAGGACAGCACGAGGACAGCACGAGGACAACACTAGCACGAGGAGGGGAAGGGGCGCCGAGGAGGCGCGCCGAGGAGGAGAGGCGAGGCCAAGGAGGAGGAACGCCGAGGAGGAGCGCCGAGGAGGAGCGGCGGAAGCGGGTGGCGGAGCAGCAGCGGCGCTAGGCGGCCGCGGGCGCCCAGCCCGCCGCGGCGGCGGGCGCGGGCGCGGGCGCGCGCGGCGCGGCCCGCGGTGCGTCGCCCGCTCGCTGTCCGCCGGCCCGGGGCCCTCCTCGGACCCGAGGGCCCTGGGGCACCGGAGGAGGGGGATGAGGACGCGGAGGAAGAAGAGGACGAGGACGACGACGAGGTTCCGCCCGCTCGACCCGCCCGCCCGTTAGGTTCCACCCGCCCGACACGACCCACGTGTCAGGATGCGCGCGTGCCAGTCGATGATGCCCCCCCCTTCCCCCCCCTTTTTAGGGTCCCGCCCGACCCGCCCGTTAGGGCCCGCCCGCCCGATTCGCCCGACCGCCCTCTAGGGTCTGCCCGCCTGTCTAGGCGCGTAGACTTCGAGGAGGAAGGCGACGATGAGGAAGACGATGACGATGAGCTGGAGGAGGAGGAGGAGGGGGAGGAGGAGGAGGTGCTTGCGTCAAGTCCCGCCACCGTGTCAGCCCAGCACTCTCGATTGCGAGTGTGCGAGGGGACACGGGAGGCCGTCACGTGTGACGCTTCGGGCCTTGGGGACTCCGTGGCGTCTTGGTAGCGTCCCTCGGGGGGGGGTTCGGAAGCTCTTTGGGGCCCCCTGGTGCGGCCGTCTGGCGTTTTCGGAGTCCGTCTTGGTGGGTTTTCTGGGTCGTATTGGGGCTTTCTGGAGGCCTTCAGGGCCGTCTGAGAACCCCCTTGGGCCGAGTTGGTGTCCTCTTGGGTCCCTCCCTGGCCATCTTGGAGCCCTCTTGGGTCGTCATGGATCCTTCTCTGTGTGGGCCGTCTTGGGGCCAGTGCCGGTGCCGGTGCCAGCGGTGCTGGTGTCGGCACCCAGCACCACGCACTGGCACAGGCACCGGCACCCGCCCCCGGCACCTGCCACGTCGATGCATCCGCCACCGGCCACCGGCACCAGCACCGGCACCGGCACCGGCACCGGCCCCAGCCACCAGCCACTGGCCACCGGCACCGGCCCCTATAGGCACCAGCCACCAGCACTGGCACCGGCACCGGCACCGGCACCAGCCAACTGCACCGGCACTGGCACCGGCACCTGCGCCGGCACGGGCACCGGCCACCGGCCACCGGCACCGGCACCGGCACCACCAGCGGCACCGGCACCGGGTATCCACCGGCACCGGCACCGGCACCGGCACCGGCACCGGCTACCGGCCACCGGCCGCCGGCCACCGGCACCGGCACCGGCACCGGCACGGGCACCGGCACAGGGTATCCACCGGAACCGGCACCGGCACCAGCACCAGCACCGGCTGGCTACCGGCCCCCGGCGCCGGCCACCGGCACCGGCACTGGCACCGGCACCGGCACCGGCGCCGGGGCAAGAATCAATTCATGCTTTGGCTAACACTTTCGATCCAATCGTAAACGTCTTAACATCAAATCTCAGGTAGTCTTACAAGAGAGCCCCGATTTGTCAATGGGCCGCCCGCCATTTGCGTAGCCGTTGCGCATTTTAGCATTCTTGTCGTAAGGGCAAATGAGATGTCAGAGGGCGTGGTATTTTTCAAACGCCCCCCCTCCATCCGTGTAGCGGTTGTACACTTTCTGCAAGATTCACGCGGCGATCAGGCGGGAACCACATTTTGAGAGCGTCCCGCCATCCATGTGTTTGACTGCTGCAGGCTTTCAGGACGTCTGTGCGGGATGCTGAGGCAAGGGCTTCATCCTGAACGCGTGCACATGGTTCATTTCTAAGTCTTCGGATGTTGTTTGATTTTTTGGGGGGCCGGGATCTTTTCATTTCTATTCTACTTGTTCTATCCTGGGCCTCTTCCTGGCCAGTAGGGGGCCAGGAATACTTAGAAACGAACACAATTAGAAATGAGCACGACTAGAAGTGAACGACGCCTACGCAATCTCTGGATTGTTGACGTTTTCGCCTGCTCTCCACGCCTGCCCGCCGTGGAAGCTGCCATGGCCACTGCTGTGAAGAGCTATACCCTGTCTGCTGTTTGCGCTCTCCCTGCTCTCTTCCCTTCTCGTCCGTTCGCACCCTCTCTCTCTCTCCTTCCTTCGCTCTCTCTCATCTACCTGCTTATCCCAGTCGCAAGCATTCCCTCTCTCTCCAATTGTTTTTGTTATCTCTCCCCATTGGTTTGGTTCTCTCTCTCTCTCTCTCTCCCCACGTGTAACTTGTACATGTATATTTCAACTCCGTCTCTCCCTCTCTCTCCCTCTCTCTCCCTTCCTACTTCCCTGTCCTTTGTGTTGTGTTACTATTCCGTTCACCTTAGCTTCTTTCTCAACTTTCTTTGTTTTCTATTCTCGAACACGTACTCTTATATATATATATATATATATATGCTCAATATTGCTTGATCAATTATTACTTCTGCTCTCTGACATGCGTTATTTGCAGTCAACTCTGCTTCTTATACGGTGCTGGGAGTCCTGGGCTCGGAACCAGAAACCAAAAACCCCGCCGCCCATCGAAATCGGCCTGCAGCGCGGAACCAGGACCCGGGAACCCGGCCGCCCATCGAAAGCGCTTCGGTACTTTCGCCAGAATCCAGAACCCGGAACCTGGGAACCCTGCTGCCCACCGACATAGGGACGGCACGTTCGCCAATCTCTGTTGCATCCGCCAGGAATCTTTCAGTGCAGTCGCTGATCGGTGAATAGCCGGCTCCATCTGCACAGCTGTACAAAGGTTTTCAGGACGAATGCGCGTCGCATGGGCGAGTCCCACATTTTGAAAGCGACCCATTTCTCAATCCGTGTAATTCGTGAAGTTTTTGAAACAAACGCATGCGTCGCTGAGTCGAGAGCCACATTTCGAAGACGACCCCTCGAGCCACATTTCGAAGACGACCCCCTCCATCCGTGTAGCTGTTTCAAACTTGACGAATTTGCGCGATGCCGAGAGGAGAGACACACTTTGAAAGCGTCATTCCTCCATCCGTGACAATGTCCGGAGGTTTCATGACGAATCGACGCGGCGCTGACGCGAGAGCCACATTTCGAAAACTACCCCCCTCCATCCTCGCATCGAGGCTATAAACTGGGAGGACGTCTCAGGGGAACACCCACCGACACGTCTGGTCGCCACAAGAGGAAAAGTTCGCGAAAGAGGACGACCACGAAGCCGAGGCTAGGGGCGAGGGCGAGAAACCAGGACTGGGAAGAAGGAAGAGGAGGGGGATGATGATTATAATGATGATGGTGATGATGATGATGATGATGATGATGCTGATGACGATGCTGATGATGATGATGATGATGATGATGATGATGAGGAGGATGACGATGAGGATGAGGATGATGAGGATGAAGATGCTGATGGTATTAATGATCATGATGATTCTGAGAATGAGGGTAATGGTTCTGAGGATGATGATGAGGATGGTGATTAGGATGAGGAGGAGGATGCTGCTGATGATGATGAAGAAGAGTTGATGATGATGCTGATGAGACTGATGAGCGTGATGATGCTGACGATGACGACGATGTTTATGAGGATTATAAGGTCGCTGAGAGTGATGGCGATGTATGATTATGATGATGAGGATGAGGATGATGCGGATGAGGATGAGGATGGGGATGAGGATGAGGATGAGGATGATCATCATGAGGATGATGATGACGATGATGAGGATGATGAGGAGGATGAGGATCAGGATGAGGATGAAGATGATGCTGCTGATGATGCTGCTGATGACGACAATGATGATGCTGCTGATGGTGATGCTGATGATGCTGATGATGATGCTGATGATGAATACGCTGATTCTGATGATGATCACGATGCTGCTGATTCTGATGATGATGATGATGATGATGATGATGATGCTGATATTTATGATGATTATGATGATGCTGCTGCTGATGATGATGCTGATGCTACTAATGACGCTGCTGATGCTGATGATGACGATGATGACGATGATGACGATGATGATGCTGCTGATGATGATGTCAATGATGATGATGATGATGATGATGATGATGATGATGATGATGATGATGATGATGATGATGATGATGATGATTATGATGATGAGGATGATGAGGATGAGGATGAGGATGAGGATGAGGATGACAATGATGATGTTAATGATGATGATGCTGATGATGATGGTGCTGTGGATGATGATGATGAGGATGAGGATGAGGATGATGATGGATGAGGATGATGCTGCTGACGATGACGATGACGATGACGATGATGATGACGATGATGATGATGATGAGATGATGATGATGATGATGATGATGATGAATGATGATGATGATGATGATGATGATGATGATGATGATGAATGATAGTGATAGTGATAGGAAGGAGGAGGGGAGGAGGAGGAGGAGGAGGAGGAGGAGGAGGATGAGGAGGAGGAGGAGGAGAGGAGGAGGAGGAGGAGGAGGATAAATATCAAGGTCGATGAGCATGGAGGATGGAGGATGAGGAGGAGGGGGGCGATCGAGGGGACCCCCCCTTCAGAGGCCTTGTCCAGAGACCCTCGGGGGACGCCTTGAGGAGACCCTTCTCCGAACCGCTCTTTGCGAAGGCCGCCCCTCCTCGCACCACCCCGGTTGAAACACACCGCCTAAAGCAGGCACCACCGCCTCCGCGTGCCCAAGGCGGGCCGTAGCCTCTGCTACGACCCCGAGTCCTGCCTTCTCTTCGTGGCCGGCTCCTCCAGCGAGGTCGTTCAGATTGACCTGGAGTCGGGCGCCTTCCAGGCCCCGCTCCCGCTGAGCCGGCTGGAGGAGGTTCGGGGCCTCTCCTCTCGGACGTTCGTGTTGGTGGGGGAGCGATTTGAGGAGTGGGGGGGGAGAAACGGCGTGCACACTTCGTGGCCCTTGTGGGCCCAAGGGGGCCTCTTCGGTGCCACTTGGGGGCACAGAAGGTGCACCTTTCCTTTCCCCACCATCTACCGCCCCCCATTACCCGACGCCGAACCACACCCGCGGCAGTCTCGCGCCGCCTCGACGGGACGGCGGCGTCGGCGCGGGCGTGCAGGGCGGAGCAGCGCTCGGGGGCCCCGCCGACGGGCCCCTCCCACGGCGCTGAGGCCACGGGGTGCGTGGGGCCGACAGCCTCTGCTCGGTGGTTCAACGATGGGGTCCTGAGGGACGGGGTCCTGCGGATAGGAAGGGGGGCCCAAACTCGGGTTTACATAGTTTGAGTGTTTGAGGCGCAGTCAAGACGCTGAGATAAGGACCGCCTGTGGCTCACGAGGGGCTCGGGTTTCCGGGCCGGTCCTTGGATCTGTGCCGTGGAACCTGTTTGTGGCCTCGGCAAAGCCACTTCGCTTCACCTCTTGTCCGCTCCTTATATGGCAGCACGAAACGATGACTGCACCTCGGAGGAGGAGGAGGAGGAGGAGGAGGAGGAGGAGGAGGAGGAGGAGGAGCAGGAGGAGGAGCATGGAAGAGGAGGAGGAGGAGGAGGAGGAGGAGGAGAAGGAAAAGGAGGAAGAGAGGAAGGAGGAGGAGGAGGAGCATGAGAAGGACCGTTCCGATGACCAGTGGTCAGATTCCAAAAACCAGAGGCCTCCCATTGTGGGAGGGTTGAGTGTGGGCCTCAAACTAGGCCCTTCATGAATTTCTTGTCCAGAAAATTCTGACCAGAGGTAGTGCGCGACTGGCACTCCTTTAAGAAATTCTGACTGCTGCGGGTGGCGTGGGACCCGCAACTCAAGCACAGGAAGGTCCCTCTCTGTGTGACCACCATTTCGTGCGACGGGTGCAGGAACGAAGCCCCGAGGAACGCCCCGCGCACAGATTTCACGCCGTGGACAGGTCCAGACCAGGGCTCGGCGGGCACAGGGGGTTCTCAGAAATTCTTGTGAGGGCTTTGCCCCGTGTGAACTGATCGAGACCACCGACAAACACTTGACGCATTGAAATCTATTACCTGCTTCGACGGACTGCGTCTCATGGCTGCTGTCAGCCATGAGCTTGGCTATCTTTGGGCCGAGGATCGGCTTGGGACCAGGGGCCTTGGGTCTCGGCTTCGGCTTCGGCCGAGGCCGTCGTGATATCCTGGGGCCCACATCCTGAGACTGCTCGGCATACCTACTTAGGAAAACGTCGGTGGCTCTGTTCCTTACACTCTTAGACAGGGCGAGGCCGAGCTCAACGGCTTCGACCTCTCCTGGGGATAACTGATGCCTACCTACTACATCGTCTGCGAGTTTGCCCGCTAGAAAATTACCAACAAACGCGAACACGGGCGTGCCTTTCAGAGCGGCTCTCTCAGCAGACATATGCGATTCAATCTTCATGACACTGACCGACCGTCGATCGACGGCCGCTCGGACTCTTGGGGGTGCGTGCACAGTAATGACTTAGCGGATTTTGGGATGTCGGTCTCATCACCTCATCGTGTCACTCAGTAGTCGTCTGGGCTCGAGAGTTTCGCCGCATGCAGGGTGTGGCGGGAGCGTTCCTCGCCTTCCTAACCTTCGTGGTGCGGGACCATTTCGCGCGGCGGCCGCCCTGGGACGGCGGCGACGCCGACTGGTGCCGCTCGGAGGCTCTGGCACCGCCTCCCGCCCCGCCTGCGCGGGACGACGCTGTCTGCCCTGTGAGCTGGGTCCACCCTGGCATCGTGGAGGAGATCGCGCAGCAGCTCGCCGCTGATCGCTGCGTGTGCGAGGTTCAGTGCAACAGCGGGGCGAGGGACTTCGCCCTGTTCGCGGGCGGCGTGGGCTTCTTCGGCTTCGGGCAGTTCATCTACTGGGTGACCTTCTTCGGCAAGTGCTACTGCTGTCGGCGGGATGGCGCTCGCGCTGGCGCCGCGGGCCGTGCGCCTCGGGGCCACAGGCGAGCGTCTTACGGTGCGGGGGTTCTTGAATGAGCTCCTCCCTGGCCGCCTCGTGGCGGTCAGATACCCAGGAGAGGACCTCTACCACGAGAGGGTGGTCCTCGGCCCGTGCGCTCGCGACCCACTCGGCCGAGTGAGTCGCTGGGGGGTGCTGACGCCCGACCACGACAAATACGACGAAGACATGACCATGGAGGGCGACGAAGGCGAGGCCATCGTCCTCCTGGACGACATGGGGAATTGTCCAGCTGGCCTGCGAGGTAAATTTTACCGCTTTGCTGGAGACCGCTATCCAAGCAGCCAGCAGATCGTGGACTGGGCCAGGGCCCAGGTCGAGCAGATCAGGGCCGCTGGCGAGGAGCCGCTGTCGATGACTCACTACATCGACCACGCGGGCTCTCGCAAGGCGCTGGCTGGCGTGGGCAGGCGGCTCCGCCTGGGCGCTCCCGCGCCCTTGCCTGCGGGGGGGCCCGAGGCCCCTGGAGGCGCGGCCGCCGCTGGCCGCCTCGCGGCCGTGGACGGCGACGCCGACGGCGCTGGGGCTCCCGCGGGGCCCGCTGGCGCGGTCGGCCTGGGCGCTGTGCGCGACGCTACCGAGGACCCCTTCGGTCCCCTGCGTGCGCGCGAGGAGCCCGCCGAGGGTCGTGTCTGGATTGTGTGCGAGAACTCCGACGAGCACGAGACCCTCGGGCTGGAGGTCACGTTGAGGCCTGGCGACATCGCCATCACCAGCCACGATGGGTTGGTGCATCGGCACGGCGGGTTCTTGAGGATTCGCTCGGTGCTGTCCAGCGAGTGCGTCGACTTCGTTGCCCGCCTAAAGGCTCGCTACAAGTCGACTGCTGCTGAGCCGCCTGCTGGGGCCTTGGCGATCGGCGGCGCGAAGACTCCCCCCGTCGAGGTCGACGACGACGTCAGGACCTTGTGGGTCGACTACGACGAGTCTGGGAACCGCTTCAAGTCCTTCAAGAGGGCCGTGCAGGAGAGCCGCGAGGAGCCCATCACGGCCGTGGAGGTGCAGGGCCCGCCTGGCGCGCTCCACCTCGCTCGGTTCATCGAGCGGTACGGCGGGGGCCCGCGGCGCTGGTGGCAGGGCTTCGCGCGGGACCACGGCATCAGCAAGACGGACAGGGTCTACCACGAGATGACGAACCTCACGGAGAGCCTGAAGTTGTTCGGCGAATACGACCAGCTCAACTTGGGTGCCTCCGCGGGCATCGAGAAGCTGACGAGACGCATCTGCGGGGTGATCGACGCCTACGCGACAGGCGGGGGGGCCCCCAGCTGGAAGATGGCAGGCCTCTACGAGGGCGAGGCCAACTCGATCGACGCCATTGCCCCCGCCTTGCGCAAGTGGGGCCTGGCCAAGGTGAAGGACCAGAACGAGCTGGAGCAGGCTCGTTTGCGCCATCCGCGGCCCGCGGAAGGCGCCGACCCGAGCGCCGCCCCGTCGGGCGCTGCGGGCCGCGGCGACGGCGGCCGTGGCCGCGGTGCTGGGGCAGGGCGGGGGGGCCGCGGCAGAGGCGATGCGGCCGCCCCTGATGGCGGGTGACCTAGACGACGGGTCGCGGATTGGCCCTCCATGCCGCGGCCCGCTGAGAGTGGGGGATTTTCGGGCGGGAGGGCGCCCGAAGCTTTTTGACCAGTTCCCGATCGCGCTGCCGCCTTTGGAGTCTGCGCCGACTTCGGGAGGGCGTCGGTCGAAGAGATGCCGCAGACGTGGCCGCGTGCGGCAACTCGTCGAGGGCGCTTCGAATGCACTTAATTGGCTTACTAAGACCGATGACCACCGACTTCCTGATCTCCGCGGGCGGCCTCAACATGTTTCGGAGCTCGGCCAGTGCCAGGTGACCCGCGAGCGTGACGAGGTGCTGTCCTACGTGGAGCAGTTGGCTGCGCTCCAGGTGCGCGACGGTGGCCATGAGTACTACTTGCCGCCAGAAGTGGCCCTTCGGGAGCTGCTCTGTGACAAGGCGTCTGGCTACAGGATGGACGCCTCTATGACTACGCTCGCGCCTGCCAGCGAGGTCGGGTCTCCCTGCCTGAGAAGCGAGATGCGGTGTCGTCCGTCTTCGACCTGGTGGGGGATCGTGGCCGTGCATACCTGGGGGGTGCAGGAGAGCGCATGCTCGATCCCAGTGCTAGTGACACGTTGGCTGGCGATGCTGATCGATGTTATGTTGATCCCCAGCTCACCAGCAACCCGAAGCTCTACGCCCGCTTCGCGCGCGACCTGAAGGCCAGGAACATGCTAGTCTTCGGCAAGTGGGCGCATGAGCGCACAGGACTTTTCTTCGTTCGAAAAAAGAGTGGGAAGTTCCGACTTATCCTCGACGCGCGGCGGACCAATCGGTGGTTTCGACCGCCGCCGCGCGTCGACCTTTTGACGGCCAAGGGCTTAGGCCGTATAGAGGTCGAGCTTCCCGACGACCAAGACTTTTCATCTCTCTACTGTGGGGCAGCTGACGTGCAGGACGCGTTCCACAGGATGGGCATACCAATGTGGCTGTCTCGCTGGTTCGGCCTGCCCCGTGTGCGAGCTCGAGACGTGGGGCTGACTTCCTGCGAGGACGGCCCCCTCGCGCCCGACGACTGGGTCACGCCGATGCCGAGCTGCCTCCCCATGGGCTTCGCCTGGAGCCTCTTTTTCGCCCAGGACATCGACGAGGAGGCCGCCAGCCAGGTTCTTCCTCGAGCCGAGCTGCTACGCGACCGTGGCCAGCCGCTCGTGCTCTCGCTGCGGGGCGCGGGCGCCACTGCGACGCGCCACTACATCTACGTGGACAACATCGGGGTGTTCGGCGCCGACGGCCGCATCGTGGCCTCGAAGCTCGAGGACGTGGTCTCGGCGTTCGAGTCTCGCGGCCTGGCGGTGCACGAGGTCGGCGTCTCCGACGAGGGGGTGGAGGCGCTGGGCGTTCTGCTGGACGGCCGCAGGCGGCACGCCCGCCTCACCGCCAAGCGCTTCTGGAGGGTGCGAGGGGCCATCCTGGCTCTCACCAGCCGCCGGCGGGTGACGGGGCAGCAGGTGGAGGCCATCCTCGGCCACGCCACCTTCTGCGGCCTGCTGCGGCGCGAGACGCTGTCGGTGTTCACCACCGTCTACCCTTTCAGGGCTCACTACGACCAGCCCGTCGCCCTCTGGCCGTCGGCCGCGGACGAGCTACGCACGTTCGCTGGGCTCATGGTCCTGCTCGTGTCCGACTGGGAGGCGGACTGGAACCCCATGATCGTGGCCTCGGACGCCTCCGAGTGGGGCTACGGGCTTTGCAGCCGCTGGGTTGGTGCCGACGAGGCTGCG